ACACATATTTGTGAATCGGAATATCAGATAGTTGATGATATGGTAAGCAAGTTTATGAATATTTTGAATAAAAAAACGAAAAACGAAATAAAAGTGATCCATCTGTCACACAGTGTTATTGTGGCCGCGGTGTGTCACGTGACAAGCATGACGCATCGCCTTGGAAACAATAAGGGGAAACGTTCTAAAATAACCGTCGCCTAAACAAAACTCACTCTGGCGGGACAGCTAGAATATTTTAAACTCACCAGTGAAAGGGTTAACTTGAAAAATGGTGTGTATTTACATATTTCCGTGGTTGAAATAAAATACCTTCTGATGTTCATTTATGTTTATTTACTGCTTTAAGTAAATATGAAAAGATGATCAGCGATCAGTTATGACACATTAAAGAGCCACAAAATGGTATTAATGTTTGAATTTCTTTACATTGCTCTGCGAAGTGTATTTTTCACTACGTGAGAACATGATGTGTGGTGTAAGAGCAGCATGGCTTGTCGGCCATAGCAACAGTAACTGAGGGGGGCGGGTCTTTGGGAAGGCTCAATTACAATGGAAGGTGACCAGCCACACTGCAAGTTGATGAGTTGATTTATCTGTCATAGAGCTTTTAGATGGATACCGAGGCATTTTAGGTCAGGTAGAATCTGCAAGCTCTGACCCAGTTCATTTGCTCGCTTCCGTGGTTTCAATACGCTGTGTTTTCTGCCCACTGGCAACCCGGGGTGTCAAGATACTATTGGGTAAATTGGCAAAGGGCAGAATCACATTGACCAAAAAAAAAACAGTAATTTCGGAGAAGAAAAAAAAAAGACATTCTGAAGTATTTTATTTTATTTTATTTTATTTTATTTTGTTATTGCGTTTTTCTATTCTTTTCATTGAATGTCTTGCAATACAATTCTGAACTCCTTTGGTTTGGAAAGGCTTTTTTTAAGCACAAAAAGGCGAATAAAAGAGCAAAACAGGGAAAAATATGTTGGGCAGTTCCATAAATATTCACTAGTGCTTAATGGATGGGTTTGGAAGCGGTTGGTCCTCCTGTCTATTTGTTGGTGTTGTTAATGTTGCTTTTTCCCCTCCGTCTCATCTCCCTCATGCTCATTAGCCCCACACAGCACACTGGGAACATCAATCCTCCCCAGCAGAGAAAAACAGCATTGCTGTCATTCGATTAATGGCAATGCTCGAGTTCCAGCCCACTGCCAAAGACCCGTTCTAAATCACTACTTCTGCCCACAACGGCACTGCAGAATGGAATTCAGGTTGGTTCGTTTGGCCGAGGTTTCCGGAGCTCTTGCGTGGTTAAGTTTGTCTGTTACAGTCGATCTGGGATGAAGATGGCTCATTCGAAGCAGATAGTCAGGGTTTTAATTCAGCGCAGAGGCCAGCTGCCATCTTGCCTGACCAGTTTCTAAATCATGTATAAAATAAGCACCATGAATTATTGATTGCCCCATAGTCTCGCAGTCAGGACAGTTTAGAGGCTGATTTGATGTGCCTTGAAAAATGCCCCCAAACTGAGCTTGTGTAAAATGGCGAAAAAACTATCGCAATTTCTCCCCTCAGAGCCTTTTTTTAATCTTTATTTTTATTTGCCAATTTAATAACTCAAGCTATTTTTCAGCTGATGTGTGCTTGCAATAAGATGGTGTAGATTGTCAATACGAAAGTGGCCAAAGAGAAATGGATTTCAGATTTGTATTTTTTTTTTCTCGCCCACAAAGCAGAACATTCCTTTACAAATCT